GGTTGCTCTTTTTCGGGGGAAGAAGCTGTTTTTTGAGGGCGTTTTCATTAAAAAGAAGAAGGTGGGGGGGGGAAAAAACAAGCCCTGAGCAAGGCTGGAAACTTCAGCGACAGGAAGGAAACGGGGTGGTTTATTTCGGTCTCGAGTTTGCTCGTCGGGGCAAGGCTTGCCTCTTCCGTGTGCCGATAGCAGCCCCTCCGCGAACAATGGGGTCGCGGGGCCCTTCCCAGCAGGAAAATACCTCGTTCCGGTGAAATCTCCCGGTCGGTGCTGAGTCAGCAGATCCTGGTGGGACAGAGCGTGGTGCGGAGGGTGCTGGGTTAACCGGCCCGGTGCTGAGCGGGAGCGAACGTGCCGGGAGGTGAGCTTGGGTATCCTTGGGGGTTGCGGCGAGCGACCTGCAAAACAGCCCGTGGGCTCTGGAGAAGGAGGAGGGCGCATTTTGGGGGTTCAGGAAAAACCTTCTGCCCACTGCTTCGTGCCTCAGTTTCCCCGCCCCCCCTCCCCGAGCAATGCTCATCTCCTCAGTCCCCGGCAGGAGAGGGCTGCGGGGCAGCCAGGCGTTATTCGGTGCCGGGAGCGGAGGGTTGATCTGTTATTACGGTTGCTAATTGGGAGCCGTGGGCGTGCGGGGCAGTTTGCAAGAGCTGGCACTTCCTATTTTTTATGGGCTCCGTAGGTGGAGTTTGCACTCGCTTTAGGGCTGCGGTCGCCCAACAGAGCGCTCAAGTGTGGGAATTCCTATTTATCCAGGCACCGCTCCCGGTGGGGAGCCCAGGGCACCCCACAACCACCGTGGGATGCAAGGGAGGGGACTTGCAGGGTGCCAACACCATGGCAAAGCCCCGCTCCTTCCGGAAGAGGCTGCCCGCCGCGGGCAGAGCACGTCCCCTTTACAGCCAAGGGAGAGAAGATGGAGCCGTGCCCATCCTGCCCGTCCCTCCAGGCTTGGCTCCGACACCAGCTCGTGCACGGGGCCGTCGGCATTAAATGAGCCCAACCCGCCTGGGAGCTACCGATGGCTCTGCGAGAGCAGCCTCTGCTTTGTCATTTCTGTCTTATTAAGCGCGAGAGCCTCAGCTCGAAGCTCACGCTGGCAAAAATCAATGTTTTCACATCGAAGGAAATACTTACAAACCTCTGTATTTTTCCTAAGGGCTGTAAATAACGCTGCATGCGGCAGCTTGCACGGTGACAGTGACGGCGGCTCCGTTACCGCTCATTTAATTCACGCCCTCGCAGAGCCTCGGCCGCCCTTAGGCTCGGGGAGCCGGCAGCTGGAAGATGCCTGGGAAGTCAGGGCTCAGCTTGCACCGTTGCTCTTGTACCCTTGCACCGTTGCTCTTGCACCGTTGCTCTTGCACCGTTGCTCTTGCACCCTTGCCCTGTTGCACCCTTGCACCCTTGCCCTGTTGCACCCTTGCCCTGTTGCACCCTTGCACCCTTGCCCTTGCACCCTTGTCCTTGCCCTGCTGCACCCTTGTCCTTGCACCCTTGCACCCTTGCATTGTTGCCCTTGCACCGTTGCCCTGGCACCCTTGCCCTTGCCCTGTTGCACCCTTGCCCTTGCCCTGTTGCACCCTTGCCCTTGCCCTGTTGCACCCTTGCCCTTGCACCATTGTGCCCTTGCCCCCTTGCACCGGCATCCTTGCACCCTTGCCCTTGCACCATTGCACCCTTGCACTGTTGCACCTTTGCCCTTGCACCGTTGCACCCTTGCACCCTTGCACTGTTGCACCCTTGCCCTTGCCCTGTTGCACCCTTGCCCTTGCCCTGTTGCACCCTTGCCCTTGCACCATTGCACCCTTGCACTGTTGCACCTTTGCCCTTGCACCGTTGCACCCTTGCACCCTTGCACTGTTGCACCCTTGCCCTTGCCCTGTTGCACCCTTGCCCTTGCCCTGTTGCACCCTTGCCCTTGCACCATTGCACCCTTGCACTGTTGCACCTTTGCCCTTGCACCGTTGCACCCTTGCACCCTTGCACTGTTGCACCCTTGCCCTTGCCCTGTTGCACCCTTGCCCTTGCCCTGTTGCACCCTTGCCCTTGCACCATTGCACCCTTGCACTGTTGCACCTTTGCCCTTGCACCGTTGCACCTTTGCCCTTGCACCCTTGCACCCTTGCACTGTTGCACCCTTGCACCTTTGCCCTTGCACCTTTGCACCCTAGCCCTGGCACGACCGGCTGCAGTGAGACGGAGCTGTGGCCACAGCAGCGTATCCGAGCCCCGCAGGAAGCCGGGGTTTGCTCCTGAGAGCCTGGCACACACTCCGTGGTGGTAGAGGTGGGAGGGAGAATCCCCCGAGGGGGTCTGGGACTGGGTGTCGGCTTGGCCGGGGGGGGGTCTGCAGGGCTGCCCGTGATGGAGATGAACTTGGTTCTGCGCTGGAATAACCCTAACCCCAACTCTCCTCTCTATACCCATGGCCAATTTATTCCCATCCATTCTCACACCAGCAGCATGCTTAAGCTTAAATAGCTCTTCTCTCCTCCCTGGTGATGTATTTATAGCGCGATCCCATCCCTTCCCCGCTCTCGCTTTGCCAGGCTGACCGTGCCACGTGCAGGCTCTTGCATAAGCAGCCCCCATCTCTGCCCATCCGTCCTGGCACGGGAGCCGGTTGTTATCGCGCTGTTTTTGCCTCCCTGTGATTTGTAGCTCTGCCATTTCCCGGGGCAAGATGCATCTCCAGCGTCGGTGGCGTTTTATTCAGTCGCAGCAGTTTTGAAAGCTGTAATCTGCCCGAGATGATTGATTTGGTCCCGCCGGGGTGCGGGAAGTTAGGCTGTAGGTGAGCAAGGGGTGAGGCTTCTGGCTTGCCGAATTATTCACCTCCATGTGATGCTTGTGCTGGCTCCGGAGGAAGCCGAGGCAGCAGCAGAACGAGTCCGCGCTCTGACGGGGTGGGTGTACCAGGGCGGGCAGCACGGGGGGAAAGAGCTTCAGTGCACATCACCGGGTGCTGCAAACCGGCCGGGCCATCCCAGCCTCGGTGGGCGCTGGGCTGAACGCCAGCACGTGGCTGTGCCTGCTGCAGTGGGTGACTCAGCCATCACCTGGGTTGTCCCCAACTCACCCTACAGGAAATGAGTCAGGTTTTAAGGAAGAAAAATGTTAAAACGATGGGGCAAGAGTCCTTCCTGCACAGGGAGGAGGGTGGTGCCGGTCGCAGGAGGGAGACGGGGATGGAAGGTCGTGGGCAATGCTCAGGTATGAGACCGCGCTCGCCTCCGATGCTGCCTGTTGTGCTGTAGTTTGGGGGAAGGAAGGTAGGAACACCCCCTAATTCATCCCACCAACAAAACCCAGGGCGTGAGCTCAGCTCTCGCCTGCCCTGGCACTCAGGAGCTCCTCTCGGTCTTGCCATTGGCTGGAGATGCTCTTCTTCCTCCCAAAAGGCTGTGTGGGGAGAAGAGGGGACAGGGACTGATCCAGGGCATGGGCTGAACTATGTGTGTGTGCCTCTTCCCCCTGCAGAGATGGACACCTTCAGCACCAAGAACCTGGCCCTGCAGGCCCAGAAGAAGCTCTTGAGCAAGATGGCTACCAAGACCATAGCTAACGTCTTCATTGATGACACCAGCAGTGAGATCTTGGATGAGCTCTACCGGGCCACCAAGGAGTACACCCACAACCGCAAAGAGGCCCAGAAGATCATCAAAAACCTCATCAAGATTGTCATGAAGTTGGGCGTGCTCTACCGCAATGGGCAGTTTAACCCCGAGGAGCTGCTGGTGATGGAGCGCTTCCGCAAGAAGGTGCATACCTTGGCCATGACAGCTGTCAGCTTCCACCAGATAGACTTCACCTTCGACCGCCGGGTCATGTCAGGTGTCCTTACGGAGTGCCGGGACCTGCTGCATCAGGCTGTCAACGGCCACCTGACAGCCAAATCCCACTCCCGCATCAACCACGTCTTCAATCACTTTGCAGACTATGAGTTCCTCTCGGCTCTCTATGGGCCATCCGAGCCCTACCGCACCCACCTGAAGAGGATCTGCGAAGGGGTTAACAAGATGCTGGAGGAGGACAACATATGAAGTTGGCCAAGATGGGCCATTGGCAGCGGCTGCCGGACTCTGCCTCCTGTGAGACGGAGGACAAGACGTACGCCTGTTTTGACCATCACCAGGCTTGATGTCCTCTTCTCCTCTGTAATGCTAACTCATTTTCTCCTTGTTTCTACAAAAGACTGAACCTCTTGACTTTGTCTAACCCTTGCCTGGGGTCTGCAAACCCACCCTGTGCTGGACTGAGTCCTTTCCAGGTGATCCTGGGCTTCTGGGCTCCTGCTGTACAGTTTGATTTCCTTTGTCCACTAAGTGCTCTTAGCTCAGAGTCCGAGGAACTGGACTCCTCACCCTGAACTCTATCGCAATCCTCCTGGGGGAAAACCAAACCAAAGACAGTGTGTAACACCTCTAAGGTGTCTCTCTGAGCGGGTGGGCAGTTGGTTGGATGAACAGTGGTGAGACCCTATTATCGGGGGGTTGTGGAGCCCCATGGTTGTCTTTCAGCAGCTCCATGACATGGTGGGAGTAAATCATGGTCCAGACTTGGGCTGCTCAGAGTAGGAAGGTGCTTCTGCACCTTGCAGGCTAGCATGGGCTTTGGCCTCCTAAAAGACAAGTCCTTGGGACCACAAGGATCCCACCTCACCTGGGCGAGCAGCTGTCACTCGGGGCAGAGAGGGAGCTGGAGAGACCTGCTCCATCCCTGCATCCCAGGTACACCCCTTCATCCAAGGCCCAGCTCCCACGACAGTACCACTGTGATGGCTCCGACGCCTTCCTCGGTGGTTGTCCAAAGCTATCCCTAAGATTCCATACATTTTACATGTCCTCAACTGAGTTATGGTTGTTATTTTTTAGCAAACTCTGTAGCCCTGATGAGTTATTTAAATAAACTCACCTGTCTGGCCTGGGTGCTCCATGCGGTTGATACAAAGGTGGTCGACAGTGATAAAATGAGTGTTGGGGGCAGTCGGTTTTGTCTTTTAAATGGCGATTGCTCTCTGCAACCTGGGGGTTTTTACTCTCCGTTCCCTGGCATCGCTACTGGCCGGGCTGCCCCTGCTCCATGGCACAGCAGCTCTGGGTTTTGCACGGCCGGCGCTGAACTGGTGGGAGGAAACGTGGATGCAAAACCCAGCATAAACCGATAGCAAAGGTCTGGGGTCCCAGCGGGAGCAAATCCTGCTCCCACGCAGACACTCACATGTGCTCCTCTGCATCCCCTCGCTGCACAGGGGGAGCTAAAAAAGCACAACCAGAAAGCAACAGGCAACGTTGCAGAATTCAATCCAGGAGCATTGTAAAAGCGTTGTGCTCTCAGAGCATGGATGCACCAGCCGTGGCCTGCTTCCAACACGCTGATCCCGGCTTTGAACGCCGAAAATTGCCCTTTTAGCATACAAGATGCCGCACAATCTCAGCCGGCCTTATCTCCGCGACCTTCTTGTGCCTCCTGTTCCATGGGATGTCTCCAGGCACAGGAGGCTGCCAACGCTCCTGGGCAGAGAGCGGCTCCACGGCTCTCGTTCGCTGCTCCCTTTCCACCGCTGGCTCGAGGCACTGATAACTTTCAGCCTTAAAGATTAAATAAAAGAAATAAAGCCCCTATCTTTGTCATTTCATAGGCCTGGCTCCAGCTATCACGGCTAATTTAATTGCATGACGCAGCTCAGGGTGGGGGGTAAAGCATATTTACAGGTGTGCACGGAGGAGAACGGGGCCAAGATCCATCGAGGTGTTGGTCCCTCGGGGAGGGCAGGGTGAAGTCGGCCTTTGGCACGCGGCATTTGGGAACAGACGTTCCCGTCCCCCCTGGGCTCGCGGCAGCTGTCAGGTATGTGCTGAAGAGGAGCCGGGGCTGGAAGCGGCGCGGTGGAGTTATCGGCAGATGCGGCGAGCAGGCGAAGCGGAACGGGGCTGATGGATGCGGTGGCGGCGGCTGGTGCGCTGACAGCCCGAAACGCTTCGCTGTTCTGTTCTCGAGGTGCATGTCGGCACCAGCTGCAAGATGCTCCTTAATTGCATGAAACATCTCTGCTCAGATGAGCCCCGACTCACGGCTGTTTCCCCTGTCCCCAGGGTTTCATACACCCCAGGACCACACTTAACCCACCAAATGCCTGGCACCAGCTTTCCTTTGCATACAGGTGTCCAATATGAAACTTCTCCCCCAAACACCCACCTCGTGTCCAAACTCTTGCATTTTTGTCCCGGGGAAGCCCTGGAGAGCGCACTCTCTGCTGCAAGAGCCATCTTATGGCCTGGGTTTCCCATTCCAAGCCTGGCTGTACAAGTCTGGGACATGAGTCCCTTTGGTCTCGTTCCCTCCAAGAGACTGGTTAAAGAGGGAGAGAGGTACCTGCAACACCAGCACCCTAAACGCAGCTCAGAGCTCAGGCAGGAGCGCACCGGGGACGATCCTGGGCCCTGCAGGTTATCTGCAGATCCAGAAGGAGCCGCACAGCAGAGAAAGAAGCATTTAGGAACAGCCTGGAAAAGAGAGCTTGTAAAATCCTCAGTGCAAAGCACCCCCAGACTGCTCAAAACCAAGGAACTCCCCCCAAAACGGGCAAAGCAGCTACCAACGACCACAACCACCACCGGGCATGAATAGCACTCGTCATGACAGCGCTGGGTTACGTGAGTTTACAGCTGGAGTCACACTCACGTGCTGGGACTCCTCTCAGGTGGGCAGAACCCCCCCTAAATCCTCATCAGCCTCCAAACTCCCGTGTGAGATCTCGGCTCCTCCTGGCCAAGCAAACAGTGAAGGTTGCGTCACTCGCTGGGCACCCAGTTGGAGAGGGCAGGAATCAGAGAGCAGAGCAAGCTCAGGCCAGAGCATGATGCTTTATTTCTTTATTTGTGTTGTATTTACACAGGAAAGGAATTCCACATTCCCTCACTGTTATTTCTCTAGGTAAGAAGAAAATCACTTCTGTACGTAGAAAATAGTCCTGCAGTTGTACTGAGACATGAAAGCGTTGCTTGGATCGATTCCTGGGTTGTGTCAGAATAAGCAGCTCTGCCTTCCCCGTGCCAAGTTATCCCAACCCGCGCTAGGGCAGGTCCAGAACATCCTCCCCAGCGAAGGTCTTCGGTAGCCGCACTCCACAAGGAGTCAGATAGCTTTGGCCAACTCTATCCCTTCCTTCCTGCCCCCCCCTCCCCAATATAATTATTTCCTCCTGGCAGGCTTGCAGAGAGAGAAATCCTGTCTCCCCTCCAGAGACTACAGAGCTAACAACTTTCATTTAGCAAGCCCTGTTTAAATCCAGCCACTTATCTTTCTGCATTGCTCTTCCCAGCAAGGGAGATAAGGAGCCCCCGTTCGAGGGGAGCTTTACCATATTCAGCAGATCAACCAAGCAGAAAGCGGGCGACAGAATGGCTGGCTGCAGATCAGGAGTCTCAGAGGAGGTTTCCAGCTGCAAAGCACATTGTTACTCTGACACAAGACAGAATGCATCTGTCTTAACACCTCCAAGTCCCACTTGTGTTGGACCCTAGCACATTTCAATATGGAAAACATAAAAGGTTTGGCCAACCAAAAAAACCCACAGTTAACAAGTAATCCTCTTTATCTGCCATGCTCTTCCAGCCAAAACACCCTGCCCAACACCGGCCTCGGGGGTCACAGCTCGTCACGGGGTGTTTTTGCTACAATCATGAGTTTGGACAGTTCAAAACGGAACTTGCCTTCCCTGTGAGACACTAGAAAGAAAGAAAACAAGCACAGGGTAAACAGATGGTAAGGCATGAACAAAACAGCCCTGCTGGTTCCTTTCCAGGACGGTAAAGCCAGCAAGTCGGGCATTGCACTTCCTTTTTATGCACGCAACAAGCATGTTATGATAAACCCGTCCTTCCCCCATGCTAATTTAACATTTACACTGGAATGGGACCTGCAAAATCCGGCTGCCAGCTATGGATGAAGAGCACTATACCCCCGAATCCATAGCATGCACTGTTCTCCCATACATTGTCACATATCTGCATTAAGCTTAAATACTTGTCTCCTGGTAGGCAGCCAGGCTTGTATCCCACTCCAGACCCTTTCTCACACAGTTCTCCCAGTCACAGACCTGTTGTTTCGGTGATTTCAAATTCTTCCTGTTTTAAGGGGACGTCGCTTTGTCCACCCACTGCAGCTTGAGACTGAAATGGGAAGGAAGAAGGGTTAAGCAGTTGAGGCAATCCAAGAAGCTTCTGTATTTAAAGCAAACGAACAAACAGCCAGCACATTTTGAAGAATGAACTTGTGTTTTAATAACGTGGAGTGAAAGAATTAAATCCCAAAGGAAATTTGAAGGAAAATCTCTGGCTGTTTTTCCATTTCCTATTAAACCACAAACTTGTGTCCTGCGGGTGACTGAAAGCCTCACCACTGAAGACTGGGAAGTGGAAGAATGAACCAGACAAAAGCACCAGCCGAGGTTTTGTTTACTTTGTCAAATGCAATTTGTTGAGGCAAACCAAGACTCCCCTTCCGCAGCGTACCCTGGCAGGATGGTGCCTTTTGGAGTCACCGACACTGGCAAAGCCAGCAGCGACCCGATGGCATTGAGGGAGCAGAAGTAAAATGGTGCAGTAGATCCTACCTACGGCCTCTCTCCTGACTGCTGCCACCCTCGAATTAGGGATGTGATGGAGTACGTTTTATTGGACAGATGTCTAATAAATGTTTTCCATGTCCCATTCATGTGTTACAGCAACCTCCCACACACCCGCTTCCAAGCGATCAGCTGGGACTTACATAAGCCATGGCATACTCTATCTTGGCTCCTTTCACTTCAGCTTTAAACTGGGTAAAGAAGAGGTAAGACTTCCCTTGGGGCCTGAAACAAGAAAGCAGACTCTTTGACATCAGCAGAGAGGGTGGAGGTGCAGATGAGCTCAGGATTCATGGCTCCCTCCCTTCACAGCCACCTCTGGCTCTCTTGTAGCTCCATCTAGTGTAGAGGGGGGAGTGGGGGGACGCAGCATTTATCAACCACCGCCTGGCTAAAGAGCCCCCCCAGAGTCACAGCATCTCTCGGGAAAGGAAAGCCTGCCGGTGCTGCCTTGCAGAGAGGCAAACCCAGCCAGGAGGGAGGGTCCCTGGCCACTGGCAGGGTTCCTGCCCCAGATCCCACCTGCCTTGTTGTTGCTTTTGCCTCAGAGAGTTTGGGGTTAAAGAACACACCTCCAGACAGAGCAGGAGAAGAGCAGGTTGTCTTCGCTGACTCCAATGTTCATCTGCCATTGCTGCCGAGGGTAAAGGTCCAAAGAGTTAACGTGGGCAAGAGCCTCCCACTTCCCGCTCACCCCTGAGGCCAGTCACCTCCCCTCCCAGCTGCAGGCATGGCAAGTTTCAACCATTCTCAAATAACACAACATAACTATGCAACACTTGCTGATGGCCCCTTTTACTTTGTCTTGCACCCTCCCATCTCCATGATTTCATTAGTACAGTTACATAAAAAGAGTTAAAGTCTCATTTCTCTTTGCACTAAAAGAAAAGGACCTGATTCTAACAGGACTTGCAGATAAGAGAGTACAAACCGTGTATCTGCACAGCACTTACTGCAGCAGCAACATAAGCTGCAAAAACCTTCAAGCCTCCTAAAGAACACAGGATTTACTCCTGCGAGGTCCTTCCTACCAGCAGGGGTATGAAAATGTCACTCCCCATTCTCCAGAGACATCCAGCCCAGAGATTTGTTAAGCCTTACAAATGTCATGGCCTCGCGAACCACAGCATCTTTGCAACACACAAAAGATGCTTCTGTTCAGGGAGCAAATCTAGTAAGTTACTTTTGCAAACATGCAGCATTGGTAACGGTGCAACCACCTTTCTCATAGCTCCCAGTCCCTGGAATCAGCTCATCCCAAACAAAATCATCCTGAACAGCTTCTCACTCTGTGCAGCTGTAAAGACTGAGCGTAAGGGAAACACTCGAAGGTTTGCCCAACTCACCTCGTTCGTTCCTCCCTGAGCTGAGTATGTGAAGGTGCAGGTGTAATCCCCCTGGAAGAAGAGAAGAAGACGATGAGCAGCCTTGCTCGAGCAGGACCTTCTCTTTGTTCACCATCAGCCACTTCGTGGCGATGACGTGAGATCTGGGGACACCTGAGAGAATAACCGGGGCTGCAGCATGGAGCAGCCCCTTGGCAGTCTCACCCTGGGGGTGACCGCGGAGGAGCATGCACCGCGTCCGTGTCTGCACCTCATCGGAGCGCAGGCAGAGCCAGGGACTGCGCAGCCCTCAGCCCCCGTGGGGCGTCAGCAGGACCCCGTGGTGCTGGGGTGGGGACCCGTGTTCTGGGGGCCCCCTTCTCCATAGGGCCCCTTCCCTTCGTGAGCCTCCTTCCCATGGGGACCCTCTTTCTTCGAGACCCCCTTCCCCCCGGCGACCCGTCCCTCCCCTTGGGGTACCTCCTTCCTTTGGAAACCCACCTTGGGGACCCCCTTTTCTTGGGGAGCCGTTCTTCATGGCAAGCCTGCCTCCTCGCCACAGAGGCTGTCCCACCTTGGGGAGCCATTTTCCTTGGGAACCTCCTTCTGCTGGAGACCCCCCTTGGGGACCCCCTTCTCCTCGGGGGCTCCCTCCCTCCTTGGGGACCCCCCTTGGGGACGTCAGAGCCCGGGTCCCCCCGCCCCTAGCAACCGACCCCCTAGCAACCGGCCCAGATACCCCCCCCCGCCAAGCCTCGCCACCAGCTCGTCCCGCCTTCCCTCACTGGCTGGCAGCCAATCCCCGTGGCGGGAAGCGGGAGCGACGTGCCGCAGAGCCAATCAGAGAAAGGCGCGTACCCTCTCCTCACCCCCTCCCTCCTCGCCCTCTCACCAGGCTCCGGGAGAAGGAGTGAACCTCCCCGCCGGGCCGCACGTCGAACTCGGCCGTGCTCGGTTCCTCCGCGGCCCGGGCCGCCAGGCACAGCAGGGCGGCGGGCACCAGCGCGGCCCACAGCCTCCGGCCGCTCCTCCCGCTGGACGCCGCCATCTTAGAAAGGAAGCCCGGTCTACGGCGGGCGGGAGGGGTCAATGCGGGCTGCGGCAGGTCCGCGGGCGCCGCGGCGGCCATCTTGGGTGTGGGCAGGGAGCCCGGGCGGGTTAACCCTTGGGGTGCCGCGGTGGGGACAAGGGACCGTGGGGACAGAGGAGCGCTGGGACAAGGGGCATGGGGACACTGGGACAAGGAGCCAATGGGATATGGGACAAGGGGACATGGAGACAGCAGTCTCCCCCCCAGCCCTTGTCCCTGGGGCCATGCTCTGCTGTGTGGGTGCTCCCACGGGGGATATGGGGCAGCTGTGGGACATTTTGGGGAGCCCACGCTGCCACCCGGCTGCCATGGGCTGTGCCCCACAGCCCTGCAGCTCCCCTCACCCCAGCCTGGGCCCTGCTCGCCCTCTGGGCTGCTGGGCTGTGCCTGGCACTAAATCCCCCAAATTATTCAGGATGGGGTGGGGGGGAAAATAAAAAGCAGGGTGGGGGGAAAGGTTGGCGGTGTGCCTCGTCACACGCGTGGAATGGGGTAAAGGCCAAGTTTGGAAAGAGCTCGGCGTGCAGGCGCAGGGTCGGGCAGAGCTGCAGCCACGGCCAGAAAATCCAGCCCTGGTGGGTGTCTTTGGGATTTGGCTGGAAGGAAAAGGGGCTGGGGGAGAGGAGAGAAGGGAAAGAAGCTGGCCAAGGCGGGAGGAAAGGCACGGAGAAGGAGCCTCGTGCAGACGGAGCTTGGCCTTTCCCACCAGGAAAAGGACCGGCTGCATCGGCCGTGCCTCAGCCACCAAACCCTGCCTGGCCACCATTTGCAGGCGCGGAGCAATTAGCTGTGCCGTTTTTAATTGCTTCTCACCGCACACAAACAAAAGCCCTTTTCCAGAAGGAAAGAGCCCTGGATCCACAGCCAGGGCTGGGAGAGATGCCCAGGGAGGGAGGAAGGGAGGGATGTCCTCTCCCACCGCAGCCCTGGCTCACAGCACGGGGAAGCTGGCCTGGTTGGCCACCCCGCACGGGTTGTCGGCACCCTTCAGCAGGCGGATGTAGCCCTGCTCGCCCCACACCTCCGACCAGCTGCAGGAAGAGATGGAGAATGAGCACATCCGCATTCCCACGCACACGGAGACCTGGCCCCGCTCGGGGAGGGCAGGCGAGCGGGGGCTGGGATGCTCCCGCCACACAGCTCCAACCCCGGCAGGACAAGCCACACGTAGGGGTGGCAGGTTTGGGGGGACACCCTCAGCCCCTACCTGTTCTTTAAGATCCAGTAGCTCACGTTGCGCCCATGGTCCTGGCTCGTGCCGTAGCCCACAGCCAGCATCCCGTGGTTCACCCGCTGGCTGCAAAACGTGCTGAAGATGCCTGGGAAGAGCAGAGCCAGAGTGAGCCGGGGGCCGGCCTCGATGGCTTCTTCTCCAGGTGAAAGCAGGGCCGTGGTTCCTATTCCCCTGGGGAAACTCTGGGGCTCTGCAAGGGCTCAGCAGCCTACCCCCCCAGGAGGCAGCCCTGCCTCAGTTTACCCATCCACGCCCTGACGAGCAAGACAGTACCCGACTTGTAGAAGTGGAAGGGGAAGCGGGTGGCAG